ATAATTTTTATTTGCTCCAGGCCACATTGTCATTAAAATGGTGGGACCCACTTTTGCAATCAAAGCAGTTTCATCTCTTTGACAATACTTAACTCTTGCCCTAACTGGAAGTTTCTTGCGTTCAGGGGCCTTACACAATAATGAAGTGTACGATCTGTTACGTGCAGATAAGGATGGCCCAAAGCTGATGTAAGGATGGATTGAGCGATTCCACATGAAGCACTAGACAAACACTCAGTAAATGACACTGCTACTGTTAACACTTCAGCCACTGCTGCTGCCCCCACCTACTCTGTGTCCAGTGGTCTGGGACATGATGAAGGCCAGTAAGTCACCTGGGGGTTAATGAATGAATAATCAAATGACACTCTTCCATTTTTTCAAGGCAGGGGACCGGGTGATGGTGTTGAACCGGTCGGGGATGTGGCAGGAGGAGGTCACCGTGCCATCGGCCCAGACTTTCCTGATGCCTGAGGCCATGACCTTTGAGGAAGCCGCTGCTTTGTTGGTCAATTATATCACGGCCTACATGGTTCTCTTTGACTTCGGCAACCTGAGGCCTGGCCACAGCGTCTTGGTACACATGGCTGCAGGTGACAGGTCCCTTCCTTTCTTACCCCACCCTCATTTCCCTTCCTGGGGCCCCTTCTGGACTCCGTCTGGTTTGTTGTCATGGTAACACCAGGCTGCCTGGCCTGTGGAGCCCAGAGGCCTCTGCATATAGTTGCCGTGGTAACATTTAGACACCAGGTCCAGCCTGCTGTCCTTAGCAACATGCCTACACCCCACACCTTTTCCTGTCCAACCTCCTTCTCTCCGGTTCTCAAATATGGAATTTAAACGTGGGCCCCCAAAGGAGTTAAGGCACAGTGAGCGTGACGGACTCACTGACTGGGTCTTGGTGGGGCTGGAGTGCAGAAGGGTAGCTGAGCGACTCTGTACCCACTTGGTGCTGCAGGTGGGGTGGGCATGGCAGCCCTGCAGTTGTGCCGCACCGTGGAGAATGTGACGGTGTTCGGAACAGCCTCAGCCAGCAAGCATGAGGTGCTGAAGGAGAATGGGGTCACACACGCCATCGACTACCACACAACTGACTACGTGGATGAGATCAAGAAGATCTCCCCCAAAGGTGGGGGCAGGGCCGGGGAGTGGGGAGGACGGCGCAGGACAGGGAGGGGGCGGTCTCCAGATCTGTGGATATTAATGTTTTTCACCCCTGGGTCTTACTCTGTGACAGGAGTAGACATCGTCATGGACCCCCTGGGTGGGTCAGACACTGCCAGGGCCTACCACCTCCTCAAACCTATGGGCAAAGTTGTCACTTACGGTGAGTCGTTAGTCCTCTCTCGGGGCAGGAGGGTGGGACTAATTAATAATTAAATCCCATTAATAGGGTGGGATACAGGGGCCTGAGCGTCAGGGTTTGGAAGGGTCCTGGATATTTGAATGAGGTTGCTGCCTCTGGGATTCTCTTTCACAACTTTTCCTGTGAATCATAGTAATTCTGCGTTCCCATTTGGGGATTACCTCTGATGCAGACCCAGCTGCTCCGCCTCCCTCCTGCAGCCCACCTGGGCTTCTTGGGCAAGCTGGACTTTCATTTTAAAACCTACTTTACACAAAAAGGCAGATATGAAAATGAGAGAGATTTTGGGGGAGAGCATGTGCTCTCTTTCTCTCTCTCTGCCGAGGGCTCCCCGCTCTTCTGTCTCCTGCCTGCATGTCCCCGGGGCTGGGTTATGGGAATGTGGTACCATTCCTGATGCAAACTAGTCTTTCCTCCTCCTCGCCTTTTTTCTTTTTCTTTGATACAAGATCTCATTAAGTAGCTCGGGCTAGCCTGGAACTCAGAGATCCACCTGCCTCGGCCTCCCCAGTGCTGGGATTAAAGGCCTGAGCCACCTCACCTGGCCCTTTTTTTCTTTTTTTTAAGTAAGGTTTCAGTATCCCAACTTGGCTTCAAACCCACTTTTTAGTCAAGGATGAACTTGAACTTCTCATCTTGCCTCTACTTCCTAAATGCTGAGATTAGTGCTTGTGCCACATACTTGACTTAGAGAGTACAGGGTAGGCAAACACTCTTCCAACTGAGCTGCATTCCCTTGTGTGTGGACATATGGGTGCCATGGTGCCCGTGAGGGACTCAGGACAGCTGGCAGGAGTCAGTGATCTTCCTCCACCATATGGGCCCCAAGGATGACACTCTGGTTGCCAAGCTTGGCACAGAGTCATCTTAAGGGCTCACTTTGTGTGTGTGTGTGTGTGTGTGTGTGTGTGTATGCATGGATGTGCACAACTGTGTGCGTACATGTATGTGCATGTGTAGGTGTGTATGCATGTGCATGTGTAGACAAATCTCAAGTAGCTGAGACTTGCCATGTAACTGAGAATGGCCTTGAACTCCTGCCTCCCTCCTGAGTAGTGGGATTATAGGCATGTGCCAGAGAAGAAGAGTTACTTTGTGCCTGGTCACCGGGATTGTCCTGGTGTTGAGTGTGCAAGGAGATTTAGGAGCTAGACAAGCCTGGATTCAGACACACAGGGATGTCCCTGGCAGATGGATCATACGCCATGTATGTCACTCTGTCCCTTAGGAATGGCCAACGTGCTGACTGGCCCCAAGCGGAACCTGATGGCCATGGCCCGCACTTGGTGGAACCAGTTCAGCGTGACGGCTCTGCAGCTGCTGCAGGCCAACCGAGCTGTGTGCGGTTTCCACCTGGGCTACCTGGAGGGAGAGGTGGAGCTCATCAGTAGGGTGGTCACCCACCTCCTGGCTCTGTACAACCAGGGCCACATCAAACCCCGAATTGACTCCGTCTGGCCCTTCGAGAAGGTGCGTGTGATGACTCCAGGAAGGGTCTGGGTTGGACTCAGAAAGTGCAGGGACTCGGGAGAGGGTCCTGGGAGCAGATGGGAACTGTCGTCTTGGGGCTGGCCCTCGGAGATGGGACAGATGGCATCAATAGTGATCTTTTCTTCCCGTCCAGGTGGCTGATGCCATGAAGCAGATGCAGGAGAAGAAAAATGTGGGCAAGGTCCTCCTGGTTCCCGGACCTGAGAAGGAGACCTAGGCGAGGGGCGAGGGGCCCTGGAGAGCCGGGAAGGGAGAAGATGGGAAGCCCTGTTGTGTTGCCCACCAGCCTCTCACATTTCATCCTCTGTCATGATGCTCTGCCCTCCCTCCCCAAAAGGTCACTGCTGATGGCCGCTTCCCTGCCCTGAGCTTGCCCTTTGCTCAGGGCTGCCCCTCCCCCTTCCTGCCCTCAGAAGAGGTTGGGAAGTGACCACTTGGATGTCTGGGCCCTGCCAAGGGGACAGGAAGGGTCAGCAGGAGGCTGGCTGCTTCCTGCCCCTCCACCCTCTCCCTGGGCCTGCCATGCTGCTTTTGTGCCAAGGTTAGCCAGTCCCTCCCTGTCCTGTCCCGTCCCGTGTGCTTCCACCCCTGCCTATCTCCCCTCCTGCCCCACCACCTCCCCAAAGAATCAAGTGTCAGCTCAGGATGTGGGGCTAATCTGTGTGAGTCCAGCATGTACCTGTACCTCCGTAGTGTCCACACCACCCAAGCCGAGTGCCCACTCCACCCAAGCCGAGTGCCCACCCCTAGACTTGATCAGTACCCAACCTTGTCTCCTGCCCCCAATCTCTCAAGCACAGTTGGATTTCTTCCACCTCCAATTTGCTGCCTTGAACCAAGGCTGCCTCCTCCAGCAAGGGCAGGAATCAGACCAACTCCCCAGCTCACCGCTCTGGGAGGGTACCCAGTCCCCTCCCTTCACTGAGGTCTCTGGATTTGTCTCAGTGCCTTAGCATTGGAAAACTTGTGCTTGGGGGGGAGGGGGGCAGCCCCGTCCCCGGCTCCTTTCTCGTCTCCCCAGTGCCTTCCCTAGCCTGGCGGAGCAGAGGCCTTACTCCTCCCCAGTCCTATAACACTGCCAAAAATCTGTGTACGTGCCAGGGGTGGGAGGGGCTAGCGCCAGCCTCTGGGGCTCAGTTGCTTTTACTGTGGTCTGCGCCCTGTGCCGTCGTCCTGTCTGTCGGTGGTGGAGAAGAAAGAGGCAGGAAGGTGGACCGGCCAGAGTTCTGAGAGATACTGCTGGGCCTTAGTCGGGGACCAAAGCGAGAATCCGAGCACATTACCTTTGCTGACAAGGGAGGTCGCTGCCTTCCCGGAGCCTAGAGGCAGCTGTGAGGTTCAGCCCCAAACTTTGTTTACACTGGTGGGGGAGGAGGAGCGCGGGCAGGGAGCAGCGAATGGGGTAGTTAAAAGGGCCTGGGCTACTGGAGCCAAAGCGGGGACCTTTAAGGCTGGGCAGGGGTAATCCCTCTGCTTCTGAGCTTGGGTTAGGGAGAGCTGTTACCCCAGCCGTGATCAGTGGGAGGTAGGGGGAGGGGCCCAGCCACTCTGTTGTCTAAATGAGGCCTCCATGTAGGAAGTGCGATTTCTGCTTTTGTGCCCCCCCACCCCATTACCACAGCTGCCTTTGTGTTGTGTCAATAAAAAGCCAAACCCCTAATTCTGACCAGATGTTGCCTTTAAGAGTGGTGGGGCCTGGTGGCAGCGGCACACGCCCTTAATCCCAGCACTCAGGAGGCAGAACCAGGTGGATCTCTGTGAGTTCGAGGCCAGCCTGGGCTACAGAGTGAGTTCCAGAACTGCCAGGGCAACCGTGTCCCTCAAGGTAAAAAAAGTGGTGGAGAAGCCGGGCGGTGGTGGCGCATGCCTTTAATCCCAGCTCGGGAGGCAGAGCCAGGCGGATCTCTGTGAGTTCGAGGCCAGCCTGGGCTACCAAGTGAGTTCCAGGAAAAGGC